CCCCAAAACCCCAAAACCCCAAAACCCCAAGATAGTGAAATGAAGATTTTTGAAATAATTAAACCGTCAATGTTTATTACCAAGTTTTTTGGATATTTCTTCGATCAATAGTTCCGAATACTTTTGAAGCAAGTCTCTAGCATCATCTTTCACAGAAATTTGAGACGAGAGGAATGATTAATTAACGCCAGAGCCACCCATTATAGAAGATTGCTGAGATTGATTCATTGATGGCATTTGTTACGATTGCAAGAGGTTAACATTAATGCTAGTTCTATTGCCTAGAGTCATCATCATTGAGTTCCATAGACCCATTGATCTGCTCAGAGAATCTGTTACATCATCTTTTACTCTTATAGCATTCATAAATGAACCCTAGTTTCCAGTACTCTAAAAACATGAGTAAAAAAAATATTGAAATTACATTAAGGCATTGAGTTATCTTAGCCAAAGAATTATTGATTTTATCCATTTCAGCCTTTATAGTTGCATTTACTGCTGCTTCATCAACTTTACTGACTCCAACTCCAGCTTTATTTTGCACTGAGTTAATCTATACCATTGATTCATCTTCATTGAACTCTTCGTTATTGTTATTATATCTCTGGCCAGATCTTGACCTGCTGTCCCCTCTAGCTGAACTGCTTCTGCCCTTGCCTGTTTTATTATCTTCTTTCTTGACTGATAAGAGTCCACCTTCCATTCGATTATTTCTGCTATCCTACTTCAAGGCTGAGATCTTATTGAACTTCTCCTCTTCTTTCTTGATCTCACTCTCTATCTCCTCTAAGATGTTAATCTGTGGCTTTTTGTTGTTCTCTATTTCACTAATCTTCTCCTTTTACTTGTTTTCTATGAATGACTTTCTCAGATTCAACTGGTCCTCCATCTCCTTTTTCTCCTTTTACACTTTCACTTCTAAGTCTTTTTATTGCTTTTTATATTGATCCTCAATCATTTTCTTGTGTTTTTCATATTTCTCCTAAGCTAGCTTCTTTAAATCCTACTACTAACTCAAATAATCTAAGTCCAGATCTACTTTCTACTTATGAGAAGAATTTTGATTGATTAAATTTTTGTTTTAAATAGTGTTATTTCCTAAGAACTAGCTGTCTTATTCATTCTTCAAAATTTAAGGTGTTTGATTGATAAATTAGGATTGTGACTATTATAGACTCCTTGGAACTTATTAAGGTGGCTATTACTTATTTTGAATTTGCTGATGATCATCAAATAAATCCTCAACTTTCAAGGCATTTTATTGCTAAGAATGAGGAAGCTAGTCCTTGCTTAGTAACTCGTAATTGTTACTTGGTCTGAAGAGATTCTATTCTGAGGATGCGCCAAGTTTTCTTTGGAAAAACTGCTGACTTAAACTGGTTCTGCTCTCATTGTTCCTCTGTCTAAGTCTTCTTGATTATAAATCACTATTAGATGCTTAGACACCTCCATCATCTTCATCGTCTAGGCCAAGTATAATTCTAGATTTCTACATCTGCCTTCTCTATAACTGCTCTTTGATAAGTTTTTCCTCATCATCATCTTCCTAGGATTTATCATCGTTTGACTTCTTGTCCTCGTCTAGGTCCTCTTCAATTCTATCATAAAAAGCATTTCTAGGCACTCCTGCTAGATTGCTGATTCTTTAGTTCTATAGTTAAGCTGCATTAGCACTATTATTTTAGTTTCTTTTCTTCATTATTGGGTCATCTTCAAATTGCTAATCTGGCTTTTACTCAGCCACTTTATCAAGTGAGTTCTAGAATATTTCCTCAATATCATCTCCTTATAACTTTTTTGTTGGATCAGCGTAAGCAGAATCAGTAGCATCGTCTGCTAATATATTGTTTTTAAGTTAGTCTAACTAGTTCTTAAGTTCCTCATCGAATTTAGACTTTCTTTGGGCTACAGTACCAGACCTACTTTCATCAAGTAAATCTCCAGTCACAGATCTAGCCCATCTAGGCAGTTTGTTTTCTTTTATCTTTAGTTATCTCATACTTTCTTCATCATTTTATTCCTCTTAATGAGGCTGTGTTTAGCTATACTAGGGATTTTCTTTTTTAGTTCCCCAATTATTTCTATTTTTCCTATTAGTATTATTGCCTGAATTAGCACCACTTTCTTATAACTCATTTTTATCCTCTGAGGCATCTCTTGCTTCGTTTTTATTTATAGCTTAGCCAAAATCAAATTCTTCGTCTTCATCGTCAGAGTCTTACTTTTTATTAGTGTTACTGTTCGACTTGATTTGAATTTTATCAATCTATCCTGTTGCCTTACTTATTTGTTTCATAATCTCACTAATTCTAATTGGATCTTCCTTTTTTGCGTAGGCTTGATTTTGTGGCTGGTTAGATACTGCCTACATGTTAGCAATGTTTTCTAGATCATTGAAATCATCATCTGTCTATGTTGTAAACTAGGTGTCTCTAATCTAAGATTTATTGTCATTTAAATCATCAATATTATTTGTTATCAGCTCTTCCTCTTTCTGTTTCTGCTCTTGTTTTAATTTCCATAGAGCTTTAGCTAATTACTCTGGAAGTCTCCAAATGTAGATTATGCCATCAGTAGAACATGTAATTAGATGTTTAAGATTTGAGGAGAGACAAAGTGCTGTTGAAACTTCACCGCAAGTAGTCTTACAAATAACATTGCCAGTAGCAGCCTCATATATCGTAACAAATCTATCGGTACTTGATGAGATAATTACTCCTGCATTTGGGTCAATAATTACTTTGATTTAGTCCATTGAGCCAGATTTTCTTTGGCTTTCAGGTTTCTTTTCCCATATCTTATCACATGTTGACAGTTACCACATTTATAGGATTTTATCATGCCCAGTAACAATGTAGCCTGATTGCTAAGCTATTTCCATTGAGAATGTTTTGTATTTACATTATTCTTTCTTCTAAACAACGATAAAGTCTTCAGTTGCCATGTTTTAAAGTTTTTTAACATCGTTTTTTTAAACTATTTGCAGATCTACATTTCTTAAGATAATTTATTTATCTGCCCCAGCCGAAATCAGTTTAAGTCTCCTTTGATTCTTTACTGATCTTTCTTCTGCGAATTTCAGAGAAGTTAGTATGCTTGAATGATCGTCCAAAATAGTCACATTCTCATAAATCCCACTTTCCTAAGAAAGTTCAAAAATTTAAGCTAATCTGTCTCTTGATCCAGAGGCCAACCAAAATTTAATTGTAGATGTTAGTTACAGTGTTTATTGCTATGGCTATCCTTATGAGTCTGAGTTATTTTATTAAGATGTATTTTGTCCTTGTAAGTCAATAATTGGAGAATAATCAAGACAAAGTACTTCACTATCATGAGCTTAGATACACTAAATTTCTTCCAATGTTTTGACATCATGGATTCTAATATTACCAGACCAATCTCCACAAGCAACATGCTTTCCATCTGGAGATATTCTTACACATCTTACTTATTGCTCAATGTCTTTATCATCTGGAGATAAAGTAGCCTACTCAGGCATCGTTCCATCTTCATTTAATCTTTAATTTTTTACTTTGAAATGATCATATTATCCTACGGATTAATCTCTGTTCTCACTGTTAACATAAATCATCCTGCTCATATCCTTACAGTAAGCGTTCTTTACTATTCCTTTCAATATATTTTGCTAGTTTTAGAGACTTGCAGTTGGATCTACAAATTGCCAGAATCTGATTGTTCTATCTGAAGAGCAAGTCATGAATTTTGTTAAAGAAGTTTCTTCTTATAGACTGACGGCGCTATTTTCATCCTGGTATCCCACATCCATAGTATTTGGAATGTACTGAATATCATGAATTGGGCCACAATGAGCTAGAGAAGTTCTGTAAACTGATATCTTATCCAGCTATTTTATGTCCCAAATGAAAATCATTCTATCACTGTAAAGCACCACAACTCTTTGATTATTTTCATCAACAATCACAGCTAGACAATCTGCAAACTTAGAGTCTTTAGTAGCAGGGATTCTGATCTTTTTTACTCCAGTTTCAATGTTTGCTGAACCTAAAGGAGGGGGCTTAGGGAGTGTTATGATGTGTTCTAAACTTTTTGTTCCAAATACTCTTATGATACCATCCGAGCATCCACAAAAAAGATGCTCATTAGTCATTGTACAACTGATAGCTTTTTCTACTTTTATATTCATCCATTTTGTTAGCTTTCTATTCTTGTCATAAACATATAAGTGGCCGTCAGCTGCTAGCGAAAAGACTTATCCTAATCTGCATGCAACACCAACAAATACTTTTAACTTTACTTTAGTCAAATCAGCACTTTTGCTTTCCATTATACTCTCTTTAGAATTAGTCTCAGTTTTTTGTACTTTTCCATTATCATCAAAATACCAATACTTGAGATGCTGATAGCCAGCAGTGACAAAGAATTCTCCTTGTTCAGAAAAGGCAAACGTATTGACTGGTTTTCCTAGTTTATTCGAAGTTACTCTTTATTCATTTTCCCAGTCCCAAACAAACAATCCTCTATCATTAGCATCTCCCAATGATATCAGGTAATTCATATTAGGTGAAAACATAATGCTCTCAATTCCATACTTATGCCCTTTCAAGTGCTTGATCTCTACATATTAGCCATCAAGCTATATTTCCCAAACCGTGATTTCAGGTTATTTAAATGCTCCTTCACCAGCGGCTAAATATCTTCCAGTATGAGAATAAGTAAGGCAAGAAAAAGATCTTTGAGATCTAGAAAACAAGAACTTAGTCTGCTTGTTTTCTTTTGGGGAATATATGCAAATTACGCACCCTGCTGTAGTAGCTAGTTCTCCATTGATAGGATTTACTGCAATAGATCCATTATTTTTAGAGCTAAATCCAATAACTTTTTCCAATTGCATCTATTAAAAATTAAGCAAACGTATATGATTTGAAGAATCAATCTTACATAGGGAAGTTCTTTACCAGATTGAATAGAGGGTAATTTTATGCCAGCTAGCTTTTTGAGGGGAACTGGTGGTAATGGTTTAAATTATTGGTGAATGTTCGCATACTTTTAAAATTTTTTGCCTTTCATTAGTCAGATTTATAATTTTCAATTTAAATTTCACAAAAAATTATTAATTATCTTATTCCCGGGGTTTTGGGGTTTTGGGGTTTTGGGG